GCAACCCAAGGCTGAAAATGACTGAGGTCGCGAAACGCAAGAAGATTTCAGTTGCCACGGTGTCCAGGGCCGTCAAGAACCAGGGTGGAAAGAGCCTACGACTCCTGGAAGGGCCTCTGCTCAATGCCCGAATGCGGGAGCAGCGCCGCGACCGCTGTCAGCGCCTGCTCAGCGACCTGAAGAGCAACGGAAAACGCGTCCTCATCTTCTCTGACGAGAAAGCCTTCACGGTTGACCCGGTCGTGAACAAGCAGAACGACCGCGTCGTCACCTTTGGGAACGATGTTTCCGAGGTCCGCCGCGTGTCAAAGACAAACAAAAACATCCGGCCTCCGTGATGATGCAACTCTGTGGACGGTCATCCGACTGACTTTCAGGTGCTTGGCAATGAAAGCTTTGGTATGCTGCGCGCGGAGCAAAGCGGCTATCTCTATTCTCTTGGCCTCCATTTTGATATAACTGCAAAAGAAGGTTAAATTCGTCATGGTACCATGTCTCTAATAAGCAGAATTTTCAATTGATATCGCCGAAACGTTTGGCCCAGACCTGTAAACCCCTCAAAATAAAGAAAAAGAAAGTGTAACAGAACTTTGGCAAAGCCCGGTAGGTGACCGTCGTGGCACGTGCCACGTGAAAAGCCAAGGGTGTTCACTGTTCAAGCTGTTCTACAGAATTAGCACTTTTGGGAGACCTATATCTCGGTAATTGCTTAGGTGATTGACATTTTTGTAGGGTGGTTGCATCCCTTCTACTAAACATCGGATACTGCATGTGGGTGACGCCTAATGCACGTGCCATGTGCAAAACGAAGAGGTGTCAGTTTTGTAACAATTGCAATATATCTGTAACTACTGGGCCGATTGAGCTGAAAGTTGGCATGTACAGCCCTCTGCAAACCGCGTGGTAGGTATTCTTTTTTCGACAAACCCGAGAATAACGCGAATACTATGCTATTGCTATCGGTCACTCGGAAATCGTAATAGCAAGACGCGCGAGACTCTGCACCTTAGATTGGCATTATCATCGTATTCATTTTCCATCCAGTTTGGCGACAAAACCCATAAGTTTATATTTGCCCCCAAAACAAACTTGAGCATTTTATTGCCACACAAGGCGTATACCTTGTTTAGTGATGGACCCAATCGAAGGAGTGGAGCATGGCGCATCTATTTGCAGTGAGTTCCAACCGACTGATAACATCAACATAGCCTTTGAGATATTAACGGTTTTGTCCAGAAAAGAATACCTACCACGCAGTCTGCCGAGGGCTGTACATAGTTATTTATAGTCACCGTGTACATAGTCACCCACTAGGCAGTGCGTATCCATGTGCCACAGTTGGGGTGCTGCTGCACATGCGCACGTGCAGGGATCAATTCCAGATCTCAAGAACGGCTGAACTGATTGTGCTGAAATTTAGTATATGGTTAGAGACCGGTTAGTAGGGTTCCATGCAAAGGTCAATACTCAGTTGGGACCCATTTTGAACAGTGACAGTGGCGGATCCAAGGGGGGGCAAAATGGACATTTCAATTTGCCCCTCCCAAACAAACGGCATAATTTTAACATTACGCCTATGGACGAGGCATGGAAAGAACCGATAAATTGTTATGGTTTGTTCCCCCTCTCCCAAAAAAAAACTCTGAGCTGGATCTGCCACTGATTTTTAACGTGCACACGTGCAGGGTGCCGCTTTTAGATCTCAGGACGGCTAGACTCATTGCGCTCAAATTTGGCACATTGCTAGAGACTGGTTAGAAGGGTACCGTACACAAGTCAGTTGGAGGTACCCCTCACAATATCGCACGTGCAAGGCTTGCCCTCTCGCTCGCTCCGTTTGTCACCCTATAACTATAAGGCACTTTACTGGTTTTTATTGAATTTTCCGAAAACAAATCGAGCACTTCAACCTGTCATTCACATGCTATATTGATATTCCTTACGTTTCACTTCGGAACACTGCACTGGAAGTCATGCTACCAACTACCAACTTAACCCATTTACGCCCTTCGTTGCGTTTTCGCAACACAAGCAAGCGTCGACGTGATCAAATCTTGAGAAGTGTATAATGGCGTCTCACCGATGAGACAAGTTTCAGCGCGTTTAGCATGGATCCGCGCATGATGCTACGCAGTTACAAGTCTGTGCGGCCGGTAACTTACCGTCCAGAGCTCCCAGAGGGAAGTCGAAGGTCCCGTCAGTGATGACGTCACGAAAACCAAAATAAGTAGATTAAGTGATTAATTATATCGTAATGAATAATGTGTGAACATATTCTGTAGAGTCCCTACAATAGCTAGAATATACATTTTATTAACAAATTATGCTGCAAATAGGGTTTGTGACTATTTTCAAATATGACTACAGTCGTGTTGCGGTAACGCAACGTTGGGCACATCGGAAAGACAGGGGTGTTGCGAAAACGCAACGAGGGGCAAATTGGCAGGGCAGCGGAAGTATAGGAACATCAAATAGACTTCACTTGAGATACGTTGTGGGTTCTTTCCTTCTCTCCCCAATCTTCCTCCCTCTCTTCCACGCTCCCCCAACTCTCTCTCCTTCCCCCCCCCCTCTCTCTCTCTCTCTCTCTCTCTCTCTCTCTCTCTCTCTCTCTCTCTCTCTCTCTCTCTCTCTCTCTCTCTCTCTCTCTCTCGTTTTGTAGTCGTGAGGGACGTGTAGGTATGTAAAGTGCAAGGTGCATTTGCACGTGAATGTTGCGACACGTTTCACATTAACTCACTTAAACAGCTATCAAACACTCATTTCTTTTTCTCGCAGATTATCGGGCTATTCGAGCTATGGGTTTTCGAGTATCTGAAAATCGCATGGTAGGAAAAGGACCTGCATCAAACGGTCGACGATGCTAACGGAGCTGAGAGATAGCGAGGTACTTTGAAAATTGGATCTACTTTGTACTAAATAATGGGGACGTAGTCTGGTATCAGACGACAGATAGGCATTGTCATTCTCTGGATGCAATCCGCTGGCCCTTACGTTAGAAAAGACAACTCCCAGAAGCGGCAAATGTGGGATATGCCTCCTCGGGGGGGGGGGGGGGGCAACAGACCCCTTCGGCAGGGGTGATGAGGGCGTCTGGAAAATAAAAGTTTATTTTTAGAATTCATGGTTTGCACGGATTGATAAGGTGGTTGATGTGAAGCATTGCTTGTTTGTTTACTGAGGGTAGGCCTTTTGTCTAATCAGACCATTTTAGAGCTAGAAGCATTATTGGAATTAGGGAAAACATTGGTCTGAGCGGGCATGGTGAATCGTCGAGGCTGAGCCCATCCATCCAGGCCACCCATGAACCAGCCCCCCCCCCCCCTTCCCAAGCACTTTCTGTATCCGGCTACAGACCTGTGCTCCTATGGGAGCTGCTCGAATGCGATATACCTAGTTGCCCGTCCAGCTCGAAACAAAGGTTGAGGCATGGAGAAGGATTCTACTATCCTGAAGATGGAAAGGACGGATTGACGAAACACTTGGAAAGTGTGAACTGCGTCGAATCACCAGTCTGCCCTGGCATTGTCTCGAGAAAGAGGTTACAAGTGTGAAGGTCGCTGAGAGTGGGACAATGAAAATTTTGGATTAGGTGTAAAAGTGATAAAATGGGTCCTGGGAGACACTTTAAGCCGAGTTGTTATGACGCTCTACGCCTTACGCAGGTAATATGTGAAAGCCGGATAGGTTCATCTTTTGATAAGAGTGTGCACGACTACCCTGCATTTGAATTTGTCTTTACTCCTAGGAGGGTGGTTAACAATGGTATTGCGGATAGGCGCTTAGGCGAGGCACTGGTTGACTTCCAATCCTCGGTTAAATTGTTTTCAGTTTGGGGTTCTCATATGAGAGGGTAATGGGCTAATGGCTGTCTAACTTTCAAAAAGAAAGCACCGCCCAGGGTACGTGCCGACCACTAGGTACTTTAAATGGACAATTGTTGTTGATAATGACCGTTTGTTGCCATCTCCCCGTTCGCGAACCCTTAAGTTATGCTCCCTCATTGAGGCTCTTAGGCGGGTAATAAAGCATGAGGGATGTGGTTTCCGCATTCTCAAGCAATATTTTTCAACAGTTGGTGAAATATATGTTAAAACAAACTAGCATATACGGCGGTTTAGTGTACTTTATGTCCGTCTGATGTGCCCGTCGTTGCGTTTTCGCAACGCTGATGGCGCCCGGTGTGCCCTTCGTTGCGATTTCGCAACGCACGTTTTTTACGTTTTTCTCGAAAAACTTTTGCTGCCGGCAAAAATTATTTTCGATTCCATGCAAGGCCCTGGTAGAAGCGTAACATATCAATATCTTGATTTCATCGATTTTCATGATGGTCAATATTCCTGGGCATAAATGGGTTAAACCACCATCAAATATTTGTACTAGTATCACCTAAGCCGCAGTTCTATTATTTGTAGATATATAGCAAATCATGAATTATTTTCAATTAATAAATATTTCGGACCCTACCTTGCAGCGCCAGCTTCCGGCATCAGCGCGCCGCGATTGAAACGCGACCTCGTATTCAAGGATTGCGCTAAACGAATTTTGGCGCTAAATGCACAGAAATCTATTGACGTCAGAGGAATTAAACTGTTTTATTTTTAGGAAGCCTTGTTTTTTGGTGGCAATTTGCAATAAAACCATAGATATACAGACCGTATATCGTCTGTATATCTATGAATCTGTCTGCAAGGCCTTAAAACATATGTATATCTATGAATAATGTTGGACGCAGTCACGCAAGAGTCAAGTTGCTACGCGCCCTAACCCACAACAACAACGACACATCTATGAATAAAACCTTATAGAATTTTTAGAAAACTTTCGTTTCAGCCATCACATCCATTAAAACTGTTGTTGACGATGCTCAGTACTCAGTAGTGCCAACCACTGAACTCTGTAATGAGCCTGCTAGCCCTAAATTATTCCTCACTAACGTCACTAGAGCTAGCATTTCATACTTTCTGGTATTCTTTATCCCTTACCTTGGATAATGCGACATACACAATTTTCACATAGCGCAAAGTGCATTTATTTTGGTGTGTGTGGTGGTGGGTGTTAGGAATTAAGAACTGTTATTGATTTAGATATTTGTGTTGATTGGTATTGATAGCCATATTTGTGTTAATGCGTTTCAGCGCCTGTAGACGGCATTGTTCTCCAGCAGAACTATAGGGACAACACATTAGAACAAAAAGAAAAAAGAAATTGGAACAAAAAGCATGGAAAAATTGACTACTGCATGCACCTATCTTGACCTCATCCTCATACAATGCCTTAGAATGTGCTGTTTTCTTTTCACGTCTGAGAGACATAGGTAACCAAAACCTAATTGTAACCAATGAGGTTTATCTGAGGTGCTGTTATTGCTAGTTGGTACTTGGTAGGTCACACTCTGACTCGGGGAGCAATTTCAATTTGCTTGAGCTAAACTGTGGTAAGCTACCCTAGACTGTAAAACATCCATGTTACCATCAGCATGTCTGGCATAGCATGCAGGTTGCACTAAAATTTTGGTGCAGTTAGCAGTGTCTATGGTAACTGGGATGAAATTTTTGGGCATGAGCGGACAAAGAAATTTCGGCGTGAATGGACGATTGAAGATATTTCAGCGCAAGGTGACGAGATCTTAGCTTATTTCAATTGCTACACTCTACATAAGAATCACAAATCCGAGTTCATGACTGACGGGGATGTAATGTTAATTGAAGGCCACACACCTGAGCCTCCCAGGTTGACGTGATAGCCCTTGGAGACTGGTAGATAGACGCGGACTGGACTGGTTGATATACAGGCTCCTACACTCTGAAGTTATGTCCAGTGCAGACCGTACCAAGTTAGGCGACTGAGGCTCGAGAAAACTGATGATCCTGATGAGTTGGTGTGACAGGGTGCACCGCGAATTAGGCTACGAGTATATCACGCCCAGGCGGCACATCTAACCTTTATTTCTCAAAGTCAAAAGTTGAAAATCACCTGAGGGGTGTTCACGGGCACCGCACACTGCTGCGTGCGGTGTGTGCGGTGCGTCCAGCAGGCGTGGGGGTAGGGGATGGGTAGGCGGCTCTGACGTTACGGCTGCGTGCGGTGGACGGTCCGCTGTGGCCAGTCCCGACTGGCCACAGCGATCGCTGTGTGCGGTGACGGAAGGCTGACGTAGGGACGAAGTGGGCGGAGCTTCGAGGCTGTGTGCGGTCCGACCGCACACAGGGCCCGTGAACAGCCCTCTGAAGCCTGGAGGTCATAGTGAACATAAAAAGCGAGAGGAGTAGTAAAGAGGGAGTTGTCACCGAGAAGAGTTCTCAACGAAAGCTGGGGCAGTGTTGGAGATGAGGCCGCTTTCTGGTCCCCGCATTTTATTCTCCGGGTGGTTTAGCCCCGTCTGGTGCTTAGCCTTTCAGGACCCTCTCAGAGCCGTGGTTATTTTCGCCGCTTGGCCCATTCGAGATGCAAAGTTGATAGTCACACGAAGTTTGTTTGGGGCCTCTGAATATACGACTTCGAAATTAATCGACTCCAAAACCTTTTTATTTCATCTATAATATGCATACATTTAACAGTAACACCAGACTAGGCCGGTTCGGCTGGCCCTAAATAGGCTTCGTATGACTGGTATGACTATTAACTTTGTATCTCGACTGGGGTGAGCGGCGAAAACAACCGCGACCCTCCTGAGTGGATCCGGACGGGATTAACCCGCCCGGAGAATAAAACGCCGGGATCAGAAATCGGCCTCATTTCCAGCACTGGCTGAGAGCCACAGCGGCCCAAAAACTGCAATCTCCCGACATCCAGTCTTGGACACTCAACCAAGACATATTGTACCGAAAGTCAGTCAATACATCTCGCACAAATAGGTCTGGAAAACAAGTTCGCTACCGTAAACAGTAATCACTCATCCACGGCAACTTCTTAAAACCTTAGTACTAGCAAAGCCATTGAGTACTATGGCTCGGGTGTCCCCAATGATGCCCTGTGGTACCTATAGGGTGCCATTACGTTTGGGAGGTAGTTTGTTCGCTGAGTCATCTGAAGAGAAATACAGAAATTGTGCATGCAGTTCAGGTAGCTGATACCTAGTTAGATATGTAAATGGTAGGTGTCCTCTGGATCTGAACTATCTGAAAAAGCTTACTTACGTGTGATTGTGACGATGGTTCATTGAAGTCTGAAGTGATTGTGGTTTTCTGTGCTTTCCCAATTACTCATTTTTCAGGGATGGATCAGCTCAGCCAAGCTAATTAAGGAAAAAATGGTGCCTTATGCACCTTGATTCTGAAGCAGCTAGAATCACCAGATAACCATGACATCAGTCATGCATCTTGCTATTCTTCTTATCATTGGTAAGTTTCTTTTTTGTTCAAGTACTGGGCATATTGCTAGAATTATGTTGAGAAAGCACAATCTTATCAATACTCATAATGCATTTTACTTGATCTAGCTGCCACCATTTCTATTTTTGCCTAGCTTATGTTATTGGTTATGGGCTTGAAGTCCTGCTGTTTTAGTTTGACTATTTGATCTGTAGTACTACTTTCCTATCTATTCACTTGTGGTCTGATGTGCTCCACAGGTGCGTCGCTGCGGCCATCGGCTGCCGCCATTGCAGATGGTCTGTTGTGTGCCTACAAGCCACAGTCGCCAGATGGGCCAACCTACTTCGAGGAAGACGGCCCGTCACTGGGCCGCATCATTAGTGACCCCGCCGGCAGCGATCAGCAGCTGATGCGCTGTTACGAGCCTGAGAGCTACTGCTTCACCGTATTGTCAGCACCAGATGACAATTCCACGGAGGCAGCGACCCCTATCCTTTTGCAAGGTCAGTCAGATACCTAAATGCTCCTGCATATTACCGACACTCACAATAAGTAGTTAATACAAGTCGCAGTAACAAGTTGTAGTTAAACCCATACAGTGACCTTACAATTTTCAGAATACCTACTCAACACAGCATACAAACACAGCTCTAATTCACTAGCAAGTTAATGGTGATGATATATGAAATCTGGAGAAAAAAATAGCTGCTCACATGCTTGATTTTAGTCAGATAAGTTGCTTAGAGTTCATCAAACTAATTCCGATTTTCCTATAGTGTAGGTACCTATGTGACATAGAAGCCGATTGAGGGGTGTGCTCAATCGTCCTATCATCACCTTGTACAGGATATAAAAAAGGAAACCCTAAAATGGATGTAGCATTTATCTTTCTATTTGGTACCTACCTACTGCATTCATTTTGTGCTGAGTACATTCCCGTGGTTACAGGATGTGTCAAGATGTCACAAATCGTGGCACAGTGTGGTCAGGCTGAGTGCGTGGCGCGTATCGAGGATGTTCGCGCGAGAACCCGGTTCTGCTGCTGCCGCGGCTACATGTGCAACGCCAACGTCAGCCTGGTGCTGGTGCCAACGACGACGGAGCGCGCGCCCGAGCCGCCGGCCGAGCCAGGTCAGTTCGACGCTGGGATGCCGCTGTATGCCGTACATGTGTTCATAATGTATGCCTACATATGACATTCTGCTGGCTCATTAGCTTCCGAAACAATGAATGGCAATGCTGATATATGTTGAAGCTGGAAGAGTGCTTAGTGATAGACAACGCATGCATGCGTTTCGAGTTCGTGTCCAACCGTATGCCGGAAGTACATATTCATGAGGTTATTTTGCTACATTCGGGCCGCCGCAGGGTCGCGTGATGAAAATACACAATGTCGGCTCAGATTGCCGGTTCATATGATTGAGCTCGGCCAAACTGTCCGATACTTTACCGGTCTAGTTAGATATAATCTTCCTTTTAACTGAACGAAGCGCACCGATTCAACTTTCACGGGAGCTCAGCTGCTGACCTCACTGATCTGATTCATTTAGTCAAACTCGTGGCCATTTGCGTTTAGACATCTGTAGCGTCGAGCAATGTTGGTGGTCATGATATCACAGCAGGCTAATTATTGCGATACCACTGTAACACGTGTACCCGCTACGTCTGTTCCCGGCAGCGCTGAGTCCCCTGCTGGTGGCCACGGTCGCCTGTGTGACGGTGCTCTGCCTGTTCGCCGTGTGCGCGACTCTGTGGTGCCACCGGCGTCGGCTGTTCGGCCAGAAGCCGGTGCCGCCGCCGCCGGCCACCGAACCGTCGCCGTTTACCCCGACCATCGACCTGTCTGATCTACAGCTGGGAGAGATTATCGGTAAGTGGAACGGGGAGAGGGAAAGAGGGTAGGCTGATATAATTCTTTCAATGTTGTTAATAGAGTTGTACGTATCTTTGCCAGATAACTAGACCGCCGGGTGATTGCTTACGCTTGCTTTTCTCTTAACCAGCTAAAAAGTCCTCTTTTTCTCTGGCCGTGTCAATGGCACTGCTCGGCAGACCGGTGCCGGGTCTAACACTGACGTCCCTCGACAGGCCGCGGTCGGTACGGCTCGGTCCGAAAGGGCATCCTCCACGGCGAGGAGGTAGCCGTCAAGATTTTCCCGGCCTGGTTCCGACACTACTTTCTCTCGGAGCGCGACATTTACTCGCTGCCCTGGATGGAGAGCCGGTCGCTGGTGCACTTTTACGGCGCCGACGAGCGGCCGACCGAGGCGGGCGTCGAGTATCTGCTGGTGATGTCGCACGTGTCACAGGGCACGCTGCACGACTTTTTGCAGGCCAACACGCTGCAGTTTCAGCAGATGTGTCAGATGGCGCTGACGGCCGTCAGAGGCCTGGCGCACCTGCATACGCCCATCGACAAACACGGTTAGTGGGGACAGAACGGGGGACAGGGTTGTTCGCAGAAATGGGGTGACTTTGGACTGTGTCAGTGTGGGTAAGTGCCTTTGGGGATAGTGTAAGTATCGCCAGGTATTGCAAGATATGGACCCGACTTAAATGGTCACCGAGCGATATTTTTAGCGTCGGGCGTAGGCGGTCTCCGGGTAAGGAAAGGGGAATATTTGTTTCTGGTCCCTAAAAAGCTGTTTCTGACACCTAATTGCTGATCAGCCCCAAAATGCTTAGTCGACCCTAATATCTGAATCTGGCACCTAATTGCTTCCACACAGCCTAAAGTTGCCAGATCGTCTAGTTGAACTCCGTATTTGCTGTTTGCTGATTCAGCACCAAAACCAAAACATCCAGCACCTATTTTATTCCACGTTTGCCTACCTAATTCTCGTAATCTTCCTGATTTTATGTATCCTAACAACATGAACGTTGCATTCGGTGATGTCAAGTGCCATTTTCGCCAGTGGAGATAATGATTAATGCCATTTCTAGCCAAAAGAGAATCACTAGCCAGCTATGGTGCAGCATAGCAAGACGCTCCTATACCAGCCCGCTATGTAGAGACTAGAGATTATGGCACCCTCAGCCATTTTAACGTGAAAAGTTTGGATCCGTCACTTCCAGCCAGGCTCTCAGGTCATAAACTGGAGTAAAGCAAAATGTCAACTCTGAACAGACATGCCACGCAACCGGCCCTCTTTTCAATATTATTAGCTATTCTGCAATCATCGTCTGACTCCATCTCATTCAAATGCAGCATCCGGTTTCTACAGGGGCGTTTGACTGACCGGCCACACAATAACCAAAAACAAAATCAAAGCTTCATTTCATGCACACATATGCCATACGTAAGAAACGGATGAAAAAGGCACAACCACGGCACAACTATGCGCGGCAAACAACGGACAATGTCCCACGCAAGATCCCGCGTTTCTTCAGCGGCCTTGAACGGAATGAAAACATTACATTTCTTTTTTGGAGCTATTTGATGACGTCAAAAAATACAATACCCGTTTTAATGGTCAAAATCGAGACAATTACTCACAAAAATGTTTCCCTTTAAGCATTACAAATAAATACTTTTAAATATTTAAATGACATTGTTTTTTCAAACAAATTAACATTATTTGCTTACTTAAACGTCATATACAATGCTGAGATCACTACGAGGCTGTCTTAGAGTGTAGCTGCACTGGCAACCTTTAGGCTAGACTCCAGGGGTCATTATACCAGAACAACATGATTCTACCAGCCAGTAGTTCATTTTTCTACTAGATTGGTGCTACGCTCAGCATTTAGGTGCCAGATTCAGAAAAAAGAGTAAGGCGTACCGATGAATAGGTGCCAGAAACAGCTAATTAAGGTCATTTTCCATGATTGGTGCTGGTATCCACCAAATAGGTGCTGAGGACCAATTTTGGGGCGAGTCAGCTTTTAGGTGCCAGAAATAGCTTTTCTGGGACGCAATTAAATGGCGTCCGTAAGGAAATGGAGGCCATCCGGCTGTGATTGTCATCCTGCCGGTGTCATTTATCCACTCGGTCTCTCGTTACCTTCCTGCAGGCGTGGTGAAGCCGGCCGTGGCACACAGAGACGTCAACAGCCGCAACATTCTGGTCCGTGCCGACGGCACGTGCTGCATCTGTGACCTCAGCTTCGCCATGAAGATCAGCGGGGGTCGCTACTACAACCAGGGCGAGGAACTCAGCGCGGAGACCACCTCGCTGAGTGACGTGAGTACTGCGAAGATGTGAGGGATGGTGTCACCTCAGGTGCTGAGAGGTCGCCTGGTCATGGTTATCGACTGAATTCATCTGTCCTAGATGTTGCAAGATTCGCTTCGTGAACGCTGTTTCTGTGTCTTCTACGGTCCGTGGTTTGTTTCTTTGTCTGTCGTATTGTAAAATGTTTACGGAAGACTGCGGACAGCCGGTTGTAAACGCTGTCAGCCATCGTATACTGATGACTGACGCTGTTGTCGCTCGTGCTCATGCTGGTGACATATGCCGCCGGGGGCCGATGATATTGTCACGCAGTTATAAATCACTAACGTTCCCCGCTGACCCTGTGTTTCTCAGGTGGGCACGCTGCGTTACATGGCTCCGGAGGTCCTGGAGGGTGCTGTGAACCTACGCGACTGTGAGACGGCCCTCAAACAGGTGGACATGTACGCCATGGCCCTGGTGCTCTGGGAGCTGGCGTCTCGCTGTGTCGACCCCTACCAGGGCATGGAGGTGCCACCCTACCGACTGCCCTACGAGGCTGAGATAGGTTAGTAAAGTGGAGTTCACTGAGAGCCCTACCGGCTGCCGTACGACGCCGAGATAGGTGAGACAGGGTTCAGTATTAGAGCCCCACCGGCTGCCAGAAGCCGAGATCGGTTAGTAAAGCAGGGTTCGCTGAGAGCCATACCGGCTGCCCTACGAGTCGAGATCGGTGAGTAAAGCGGGGTCCAGAGCGCCGCGCTACCGGCTGCCCTACTACGAGTCGAGATCGGTTAGTAAAGCGGGTTCACTGAGAGCGATACCGGCTGCCGTGCATACGAGGCCGAGATCGGTTAGTAAAGGGGGTTCACTGAGGATGAGGACCCTACCGGCCGCCGTACGAGGCCAATTATGTTGTTGATTGGGTTGGGGTCAGGATGCCTCCCTACCGGCTACCGTCCGAGGCCGCGTTCGCTGATTGGGACAGGGTGCAGAGTGAGGGCCGTGACGTGATGGCAGTGATGACTATGCTGTTTGGATGTCATTATCGGATGCAGCTTTAATTTTGTATCGATTCCGTCGTAGCTTCATATTTCAGACCTCTGCCAATAAATTATTGTATGGCAATTCTCATGTCAAGCAATGACGTGCAGCTATCCTGGTTTCAACGAATGTTTACGAGTTAATGAATGTTTACGTGTTTACGAATGTTTACGAGTAGATAACTCAGCGCCTGCAAAGTTTGTTTCACGCCTTGTTTAGTTCCTGGCGCCCGACCACGACATATGCACCAGACTGTCTTGTCATCACTTGTCGCCGATGAGTCATTCAGACGTCACTGCTCTGCGCCGCTGGGTACAATAAGTTATACGAGCACATGAAGCTAGTATAGCTAGAGTTTGACTAACGTCTGTGTCTGCCGACAGGCACCCACCCGACCATCGATCAGATGCAGGTGCTGGTCACCCGTAACCGGGCGCGCCCGCTGCTGCCGGACGTGTGGAAGGACACGAACCCGGCGCTGCGCCAGCTGCGGGAGACCATTGAGGACAGCTGGGATCCGGACGGCGAGGCGCGGCTGACGGCGCTCTGCATGCTGGAGCGCATCAGCGAGCTGCCGCTGCTCTGGGAGAGATATAAAGGTAGGTAGTGGGCGCGCACAGTGCGTAGGTGAGACTTACGGTGCTACTGTGAGTGTAGAGGTGAGGCAGCGATGGAGTAGGATTAGAAGGATCCGTTAGGGTATGGCATGACCTTAATTGTGACATTTTTAGAGGTCCCGAATTTTGATACAACTTACAGGAAACGCATTGGCAAGCAATGCCTACTGAATCTGACATTTCATTTGAAAATAAAAAACTTCTTTCGGCTGAAATATCACGGTCTCGTGAAGGATTGCTAAATTGCTCCAATCATTTGTTTCGGGTCGGCTGCGTGTGCTTCATTCTTGCGATCTTTTTTTTTTGCGTCACAGCAATTAAATTAATGGTAAAATATCATATTCAATACGAACAAAATGCATTGTGTCCATGTCCTTTGCAGGTAACCTGGGCCTGAACGGCCCGCTGCCGACGCTGAACCTGGTGATCCAGCAGCAGGAGCCGGAGAAGGTCAAATCGGACGTGAACGTGACGAGCGGCGAGCTGACGGAGCTGGAGCCGTCAGAGACGACTGCGGAGACGCTGCTCACACTGTCTCCCGATCAGGAGATGAACCGTGAGTACCCTGTCCCCCGACCAGGAGATGAACCGTGAGTTGTTCCCAGAGACCCTGCTCACGCTGTGACTCTCCCGACCAGGAGATGAACCGTGAGTACTCTGTCCCCCGACCAGGAGATGAACATTAAGTAGAACCCCACAACTAACACTCCAGTGAGCGGAGACGCTGCTCACGATGTCTCCGGACCAGGAGATGAACCGTGAGTTGTTCCCAGAGACCCTGCTCACGCTGTCTCCCGAACAGGAGATGAACCGTGAGTACTCTGTCCCCCGACCAGGAGATGAACATTGAGTAGAACCCCACAACTAACACTCCAGTGAGCGGAGACGCTGCTCACACTGTTCCCCGATCAGGAGATGAGTCGTGAGAACCCCTATTGCTGACACTTTCCCTAATCAGCGGAGACTACCCTCGACCAAGAGATGAACGGCGAGTCCTCCGTACCCGTCTGTTAACCTGTCCCCCGACTAGGAGATAAACCGTGAGTGGGGCCTTCTGCTGACCCTGTGCCCTGATCAGGAAATGAACCGTGCATTCCGTGAGCTGTTCTCTGAGACACTTCTCACCCTGTCCCCGACCAGGAGAGGAACTAGGAGTCCCCTGTCGCCATCTGCAGGCTGAGCCTGTCCTCTGAGCAGGAGATGAACCGTGGGTCCCTAGGAGAGGCTGCTGATCCTGCCTGTCCCCTGAATCCCAATCATGCTCTTTCCCCATGGGGGGGGGGGCTGCAGCGCTGACCCCATCCTCTTATCAGGAAATGTACAGCCCTCAGCAGACTGCGTGGTAGGTATTCTTTTTCCGACAAAACTGATGATAATTCAAAAGTCATGTTACCAGTCGGTCGAAACTCACTGCAAATAGATGCGCCATGCTCCACTCCTTCGATAGGGCCTATCAATAAACAAAGCATACGCCTTGTGTGGCAACAAAATGTAAAAGTTCGTTTTGGGGGCAAATATAAACTTTTGGGTTTTGTTGCCAAACTGGATGGAAAATGCAAACGATGATAATGCCAATCTAAGCTGCGGAGTCTCGCGCATCTTGCTGTTCCGATTTCCGAGTGCCCGATAGCATAGTATTCGCGTTATTCTCGGTTTTGTCGAAAAAAGAATACCTACCACGCAGTCTGCAGAGGGCTGTACGGGTGTACATAGACTGCATATATCTCCGCCATCAGAAGCGGCTGTACTGACACCAGGGAGACGCTGGCAATAGCATTACTTAGTTAAGGGAAAGTTGGCTTAAATTGTCCCTTCATGCTTGATTTTTATCTTATTTAATTCTAAAATAATTTTAATTCATTGGTTTCTAATCTTAACTTTGAGAAGTTATGACAGCAATGTGTTATAATTACACATTCTGAGCTTTTAATGGACCATTTTTTTCCAGCTGCAGAATTTAAGCCCTGGCAGCAAATCCGTTTTGTTGGCTCAGACGCTGAAATATGACCTTTTGTTGACTGTTCCGCGTGCTGCTGACAGTAAGCTGTGATGGACGATGATAAGACGACGATGCGACGGTTATACCGCCCAACGAAATGTGGCAGGACACTGGTGTATTCCGTGTATTGTTCCATTGTTGCCGCTATTAGCCTGCTCTCGCACAATACTGACCCGTCTCTGCTCCGTCCGGCGGCTCAGTGCGGAACGCCCAGGTTTCCGCACCGCCGCAGTACGTGTCACAGATTCAGCCGTACCAGGGCCGCAACCCGTGCATCGAGCGGAACCTCGCGGCGGCTGACCAGTCTTCCGACTATCTGGTGGACGGTAACACGCTGATCGAGCGCTCGGCCGCGCCGCCGAACGGCGTGCTGCCGCCCGAGTCGCAGGCGCTGCTCTCGCCGATCGCGTCGTCGCCGCCGCCGGCGCGCCACGGCGCCACGCCCATCCCGATCGTGCAGAACGCCGTGCACGGCGGCGGCGGGCCGACGGCGGGCGCCGAGCCGGCGCCGGCGCGCGGCTGGCTCGGCCGGCTGCGGCGCGCACTGGCCGGTCGCGGCGGCCGCGCCTCGGCCCAGCCGGTGCCGCTGCAGCCGGTGCTGCCCTCGAAGACGGTGAACGTGGAGACGGCCGGCGACTGCGGCGACCCTGAGCGGCCGCGCTCGCTGCCGCTGTAACCGGCCGGCCGCAGGTCCAGTGCTGGGCTGTGATACCGCACGGCGTCTGCCCCGCCAACGCGCTGTTTGGTACTGCTGCTTTCGCCGCGCCCCACGCCCTTATTACTTTTGTACTGTGCACTGCTGCCCGAAAACACCTGCGTTCTCTGTGTACTTTAAACGGATCGGTGTATGTGCATGTCAAGTTCTTACATGCCAAGCCTGTTCGACTGCCTGTAACCGTCGTCTTTGAACCCAGGCCTGCGTACTCTGTTTATCTTGTGCAGCGCAAAGATATTGTCGGCTTCATAACTGTCGGATGGAGCGGACTGTACGCACTACGCAGAGCTAGAGGTGCGAACTCCGATAGACAACTCAATCATTGTATCTGACCGAGATTCATTTTAGTTCTCGCGTAATAAAAATGGATTTCGGAATTAGATCTGTGGTTGGTAGAAGCTACTTTTTTTTTACTAATTTCATTGTACAAATACTTTTATTAGTTGCATGTTTTGCGTATAAAGCAGCTTTGCGAGACCAACTGAGTGACACGACGCTGTTCATCTCTCCAAGCTGTGCTGTCGCGGAGTGTGTGCCGTTTTTGCACGCTCTGTTTATAGATAAGCGGTCAGCTCTGGTTCCAGACCGATCAGATCTGACCAGCGGTGAACGGTGATGCGATGGCCGCGGTGCCCGGACGGCGCCATCACGCGCAGTGTCCTCGCGCCACTGAAGTGCGTGCCCTAGGCGGGGACGAGCGTAACATAAGTGAGATTTGAAAATGTGTGCTAAAAGCTGTTGCTATTATATTTGTGGCATGAAGGGGACTAGCGGTTTGCCGAAATGCACGACAATCCAAACAGTTTGTTTCTTTCCTGCTGACAGTGTTGAAACGGCGTTGAATGTGACGTCGATTTCGTAGGCTTTCGTTTCGAGCCTTGAAATGTGCTGACAACGAGAGTGGTGAAATGAGGTTATTCAGTATTCGGGCGAAGGCTGATCGATATACACATTTCGTACTTTTTATCTCGTTCTAACTTCAAAAAGTTTCTCAGAAAATTATTGCTCGCCACTTCTTTTTAATTACACGGCGGTCCATGCCTTAAACTTCTCAGGGATATCCGAACAGATAGCAGCATTTCCGTGTTGTCGGCGTTGGTATTGAGCGGAATGATCAAGTGCAAATCGACCTACAAGCCACTGCCTTTTAGAAGTTTCGCGTTTCGAGTGACACAACAAAACCTTAGAAATGACAAACATAGCTGACTCCATGGATATAGTTATTTGTATTTTAGCTTTGTCCGAGTGAGCACAACACCGGGGCAAATAATATCCCACTCCGTTTTGGGCGTTATCAATGTCAAAGACCACGCCGCGGAGCAGTAAACGCGTGCTCGGTAAGCGTTCAGAGTACAGATAGACACGCGCCGGCCCACCGACCGGCGGAAGCACATACACACCCAGCCGTGTCGGCTGAGTGCTCGGTGGAACGGCGCAGTCAGCCGCTCAGCGGCCGCAGCGGGATCCTGTCCCCCACACACCCTCATGCTCGTATAACACACCTTCAAAAGTCACGTTCGCACCTTCATCTATCACAACAAATGCGGGGTCAGCAGTCGAACACCGACCTGCCGACCAAGTATGCTCGGCACCGCGCCGTTAGGGGAGGGCCGCGAGCGCCGCTGGTCCATCAGATATAGGCCTGTCGGCTGTGTGCGTTCACCTGGGCGGCGGGGGAGGTCCGGCCTCGCGGCGGGGCCGACTGCTGCTCAGTGCGGCCACCTAGTCGGGAGCGCAGGCTGGCCTGGAGCCGCCCGAGCGCCCGGTTCAGGGGCCGCGCCTCAGTCGACTCTGCCCGGTCTCCTGGCCGCTGGGGGAGGCCGGCTCCTACACCTGTCGGTTACACAGAACAGTCAGTCATGTTAGGAGCATCATTGTCAGCGCATTCTAGAGCTTCGAGGTGAAAAAGGACACGGCCCCGTCCGCTTGAATCTTTGTAGTAAAGATGTGCTAACAACATTCACAAGGCTCCATAAACATTACGCATCACCATTTTAACAATATCGTTCTTGGTCTAAAACGTCAGTAATACTGAGACACCGGGGGCAGCATTACAGAAATAGTGGATGACGCACGTACCGGCTGCCTCAAGCGGTAGCGCTGGCGGTAGTGGCGGCGGCGGCGGTGGCGGCGGCGGCTCCGAGTGCCGTTGCCGGACCGGCTGTATCACGTCGCGCACCGGCGTGGGTACCTCATAGGCCGCCTGGGTCTTCTCTGGGACGGCCGGCGGCACAGAGTCGGTGTCTGAGTCAACCTCCTCGCCGCTGCACCGCCGGTCCGGCCCTCCGACACCGCGCAACGCGCCGTCCGCAACAAACACTGCAAACAGACACGGTGATAGGCTAAAGACACATCGGCTCACCGTCGACAACAAACATTGCGATGCGAACGCAGATAGTCACTGATGGACATTCAGAATACGGACATTTTCATTCGCATGCGACATGTGGAAGCATTCGTCAAGGACATGAGACAGCTCAACTCACGGTGCCTGAGATACTCTAGTGCACAAAGCACAATACATTGGTCGAAACGATTTACTTACGATAGCAGGGGACTATGCTCAATGGGACAATCCCCTGACAGTAGTTGAATGAATATGTCCCCTTATTGACTCGAATAATTCGCACAATGCGCGGTTGAAGAAGTCACTCGACTCATGGTGGCTGGAAAAGCCCACCGGAACAATGTACAGAACTCACGGTGGCTGGGCCCGACGAGCTGCGGTTGACTGAGGCTGAGCCGATTCGACAGCGCCCCGCCGCTCGCTCGTTTGCGAGGAGGCGCCACCGGGCGGTGGTCTGATGAGTTGTTGGTGACGAGCTGGTCCGGGTGCGGCTCACGGCCGCCCGGAGAAGGGCTGCAGTCTGTCAACGGACCAGCAACACGCTGTTAAACGGTCTCCCTTGGTTCAGATAACGTCAATGGAGACGAAAATTGACTTCGAAGCCGCACATAATCCAAACCCGGCATGAAAATGTAATAATACCGAGCCTGCTAATTAGGATAAAAATACATGGAGAGACAAGAGAACACAATTGGGAACACGAGACCGGTAATTCCTTCAATATACAAAAGCAATGCTTCACACATTACAAAACGCCTCGTACCGAAGCGTTGAAATAGCATAGCGATAGCCAACAGTAGCCGTAGCTACAAAACGTCGAAAACGAACAAAGAGGGATGAACTCACCATGATTGGCTTTCCTGTAAGCGGCATTGTAATTGAGACTAGGTGGCTTGTTCGCTAAGTACGGCTTGAAGGCGGAGTTTTCTGAGACGCTGAGGCTGGTTGACCGGCCTGGTGTGTTGGGAGGATCACCATGCGCTATCACGTTGTTAGCGGCATCCCTGCGAGGCTGCAGCGACAGGGGACCATCCGGCTCGCTGCGCCAGCCGAGTGCGTCCGGCCAGAACAGAGAGTTTCCCACCAGCAGCGGGGAGTCGGCGGTGTCGCTGCCACCGCCGCCCTGCACTATGTAACTGGAGACAGGGACCACCGCCGGCCGGCCCGGGTCGGCGGCCGCGGACCGCGGGGAGAAGTGAGGCATCGGTGGGACGCCGTTAGCCGACTCCACACCCCGCGGTGTTGAGGTGCCCCGCGGCTGCCGCTGCCGCTGTTGCTCCAGAGATTCCGTCAGTGGCGAATGCTGACCCTCGTTCACCCAGATCGGCTCGTAGTTGTTGGAGCGGCCCTTGTCACCACTCTCGACTGCCTGTCGGAAGCTGTTGCGTCGCTCGCGGGCGTGCCATCCCAGGGAGCTGACAGGAGGCGGCTGAGAGGTGATCGACGATTCACCACTGGCGTCGTAGAAACCACTACGAGGATTTCGCTGCAGGTCTGATTCGATCCGGCTGAGATTCTGATGCACTTCAGGCCTGCAGTTGGGATAGTTGGACGTCGGGGCAGGTTCCTCAGCAGGCGGCGGCGGCTGCGGCGGCAGAGACTGAGGCAGGACGTTCGCGTAGCGCGGTCCCTCGCCTACCAAGTCACTGTCCCCGCCGACTGCCGGACTGACAGGACCCGCCGCCAGCACGGGTCCGATCGGACTCGTATCCTCAGTCAGCGTGTCGTTCAGCCCCAGCTGTCGACTGCGCTCCACCAGCTCCGCCTCATACTGACGCAGCAGCTCGATGTTGACGTACCGAGGCGGCGAATCTGACGCTGATGTGCCCGGTCCGACCGATGGCCGAGTGACGTTCACGTGCAGCGGCTGGAGGGGTGTGGAGAGCGCCGCAGTGTTTGACGGAGTCCGTATCGGGGTCACAACGGGAGCAGCTGGCGCAGGCGGCGGGTGAAGACTCGGCGAGTTCTCCAGAGCCAGATACGCCGGGCCGAGGCGCTGGGTGCGCAGCGGGGCCACCGGCATCTTCAGAGACTTGCTGCGCTTGATGGGCAGCGCCGGCCGCCGGTCGTGAGGCGAGCTCCGCCGATCGGCGAGCCGGCTGGAGGGAGAGTACGTCCGTCCGACGACGCGCACTACCGGCGGCGCCGTGGCCACATTGTTCACCGTGACCCCCGGCAGCGGAGAAGTCCGAGCGCGGACCGGAGGCCGGGCCTGGAGCGGCGACCTGGCGCGGGCGGCCGCGGCGGGCACCTGAGCGGGAGCTTTGACCGCATCCGGCTGCAGCTGCTGCACCTGCACTGGCGACTTGGCGTGACTGACTTTCCGAGATTGTGACGGCGACCTCGCCCTGTTGTAGGTCGTTTCACTCGGTCCGGTGGGTGGATTTGACGGCGGGGTGTACGGCACCAGCTGTCTATCCCGCGGTATGCTGACACTATTAGTCCGAGTCCGGCCGTCTGACGGACCCGGCGCCCGATAGCGCAGCGCGGCGCTACTCTTGCTGCGGGCGAGCCGAGGCCGGGGCGCGGCTGGCTCGCTCTCTGTCGTCTCAAACAGTTGTCTCAGCCGACCGACGCCGGCGCGCCGTCCGGTCTCGGCCCGGTCCAGCGAGCCCTGGTACTCGGGGTCCGCGGAAGGCCGGACCGCCGCGCTCGGCGGCTCCGGCTCCGGCTGTGGCGCCTTCCGTTTCTGCGGCAGCGGTGGCGGACGGCAGCGCTGCCGCGGGGTGCTCTTACGGTGGCGTGGTGGCGGTGAAGGCGTGGGCGGGTCCTGCACCGGTGGCGGAGCCTCTGAAAGACGGGACGGTCAGAGACCGGCGTCAGAACCAAATTTAAACACGAGTATCGCACGTAACTACATCCGGTTCAACTTAACGCGGAAGCACCACATCGGGCTGACGCAGTCATGTTCCTGGTTAATTATCAATAAATGAGAGAAAATAGAGAATACGGGCAACCAGGCAAAATATTTCCATGATTCGTCTTGGAATAGCATTTCCGTTATCCTTAACACAAAAATATCATAAAAGTGTGGCGCATCTCGACCTGAATTGACTCCGTTGGCTACACCCCATCTCAGCTACAAACTCACCAACGGCCAGACAGATCTCCTCGTAGTCTCCACTATCGGCCGCTGCCGCCGCCGCCAGCACCTTGCCGGCGCTGTCCACGTTGGCGTAAGGGTGAGATTCGATGACACGCAGCTGGTCGGCGAACAGCTGTCGCACCGCGCGGTGTACCAGCATGTACTGGTCCTTGGTCTGCACCATGGCGATCCGCTGACGGCGCATCTCCGCCACCAGGTCAAACAAACTGAACGTGGGCGTCAGCTTCTGCGGAAAATTAATGGGGAAAATCGCCACAACAGTGTAAACGAGGGCGTCAACTTCTGTGGGGAGACGCGGGCGGAGGGAGGCGTTACTGTCATCAGTCACCACAATGAGGGTGTCAGTTTC